CAAAGGACTTGGATAAAATTAGCATTAACCGGTTAATCCTATCTTTATCCGATTCACGGGTTTTAGCCGTAACATATACGAGTATAAATATATATGTGTGTTGAAAGATTAATATTAAACGAGTTTAATATTATTTATAATATGTTATTATAGTCTTACGAATAAAGAATTTTAAATAAATAAATATCTCGACAAATAAATGTAAATAAATACAAAATTTTATTGAATTTTGCAGTTTATTTACATTTCTTTCCTGTTATATTTGCAGTTCATTTTGAGGATTCTTTGATCAATTTATCCACATTTTAATAAATCGCATTTAAAAATAAATGTTTAAATTGAATTTAAAGATTAATTATTAAGTTTTCTAGCGGATATTAACTTAATTACAGACTAGTTTATATATTAGATATATCTTGTGCTGCATAATACCTAATTGAAGCAAATTGCTTAGAAGATTTTTCAAACATATTGTATGTAATTACGATTTCTTTGAATATTTTATGAGTAACATATAATAAACACTGCAGTCTTTACTATACAGAATTTTAATATTATGATAACTAAAATATAATTAAAAATTTTTAATATGGAGAATTATATAGTCAGTTCTTTATGTTATCTAATGGAAAATATGACGATTTCTAAGTTATGTTACGTTTCCGTATAAAAAGAAAGATTGCAAATTAAAATAACTAAAGAAAAAAAATCCTAATTTGAGTTTATTTTATAATAATTATTAAAAAATGCAATAATTAATTTCTTACTGTTTAAACGACTAAATTCTAAATAAAAAGTATCTTTTATGTATTAAAAATACATATTAACTTATATTTAATAGTAGACATAATAATATTAATTATGATTAATATTATTATATTTACTGTCAACTGTAATATGTAATATAATTTATAAGCAAAGTTAATGTGGTCAACGTGCCGATTTCCACTTTGTATAAGTATATCAATAATATAACTAAATACAGTTTTAATATCCTTCAAACATAATTCTAAGATCTTATGGACATAAAAATAAATCCATTTGGATGTTGTAATTAATTTCAATTTGAATAAAAACGTACGGAATTACTCCATTTTAAATTTAATTCGTTGTCTTTTTGGTGTCTTATATAAGTGTAAATATTTATTCTGGTAAATAAAAAGTATCATTAAAAACGATATTTTTTCTTTATTGACAGTTCTCTATCGTTCTTTAATTGTCCTTTTTTAGCATTCCGGAAAACCGAGATTGTATTCAGAAATATGGTTCTATGGTTCCTCAGAGGATCGCGATTCATCGATAAGAAAACATTGTTTAGGCCATAAAACAGCGTCAATATATTTTTTAAAATTTTATTAAATTGTCTTATTTAAATTTTAACGTATTTTTTTTATTTTATTATCTCATTGTTTAGATTATTTAAATGTAAAAATTACTTTATTTACAAATTAACAATATTAATATCAGCTGAAGTGATAGTAATTTTGTAAAATTTAAATATTATAATAGGAATTTTTAATAATTTATTTTGTTATTATC